TTTAATATATTTTTATTCATTTCAGAGAAGAAGGGAGAGGGAGAGAGATAGAAACATCAATGATGAGAATCATTCATCAGCTGCCCCTGCACACCTCCTCCTCCTCGCCCCCCCACCCCCAGGGACCCCGGTATCCAACCTGCAACCCGGCATGTGCCCTGACGGGGAATGGAACCCTGAACTCCTGGTTCATAGGTCCATGCTCAACCACTGAGCCACGCCCAGCCAGGCACCCATTGCTTTTAGATAGAGTGGAAGGGAGGTGGGTGGAGAGAGAGAGGGAGAGAAACAGTGATGTGAGAGAGACACATCCACTGGTTGCTACCCTTACTGGGCTGGGGATCGAGCCTGCAACTGAGGTATGTGCCCTTGACGGAGAATCAAACCCGAGACCCTTTGGTGCTGGGGCCAACTCTCTAACCACTGAGCAACTGGCCAGGGCTATGCTGAAATGTTCTGATGGGCCAGGCCTGAGTCAAGTATTCACCTCCAAAGTGAATTGAGAGCTAGCTGGCTTCCTACCAAAAAAAAAAAAAAATCAGGGTTAAAATTAAATAAAAAACCTGGAAGTTGGACAAGCAAAATCAGCCGTTGTCCACTGTAGAAGCACTTCAGAAATGTAGCTTGCCCTTTCTTTTGGATCGTCTGCTTGGGATACGTTTTCCACAGATGGTCTCTCATGGGTCAGAGCCCAAACATAGTCGGTGGTTTTTGAACTAATGTCCAGTCGTTTTTCAACGGGATTTCATAGTTACATTGTTTGCCCAGAATGAACTAATTTTGCCACACTCTTATGTGTGTTGGAGGCCATTACATTTTTTTAAACCTAGACCATTCTAATTTTACTAGGTTCTGTATTTATATTTGCATAATTTTCTTTCTCTTTTTAGAGTAGAAAATTCAAATAAGAGAGTATTTAAAAGTTGGTTAACTTGAACCTGGGGATCAACAGAGAAGCCACTTGGGGCCTTGCGGGTGAGGGGAGGACAGGTGCGCCATTCATCACTGCAGAGTTGTGTCTCAACACAAGGGCAGCAGGCCGGCCCCAGCCTGGGGTTCAAGTTCAAAAGGTACTTCAAATGTAAAACTTTTTTAAAAACCGAGAGTCACTTTAGCAGCGTTATTGCATGAAAGTTAGACCTCCTGTCAATAAAAAGGAGTGCATGTGCGCAAGCCAAAAACTGCTGAGGAGTTTGGGGTGCCCTATCGCGTTCCTGCACCTCCGTTTTTTAAAATCTCAATAAGAGCCATTGCCGACTCTGCCAGTAGCGCTGCCGGTGCACTCGGGTATGAAAGCGTGAGCAAGAGTCCCGAAGGCCTGTATCCGCGCTCCACCGCGCAGGCGCAGGGCCCCTCCCACCAGCCACTGCGCCGCGCCAGGGCTAGAGCATAGAGGTGCGGATCCCTCCACACGCCTAGAGAGGAAACGCAGGCTCCCTGAGGGCCGACTTGCGGCGGCCC